AAAGAATTTATCCAGTTTATTCAGAAACAGTTGTGTTTACCTTTAGTTTAATAGGCACATCTGTTAAAGCACTCAGTTTATCTCTTTCCAAAGTAAGTTAAGTCATATGCACGAAAGAAGAAATCTAGTGGTTTAACCAGTACATACTCTGGGCTAGAGGAATTTTAACTACTGAATTCACAAGTTAATTGCAATTATAAAAGTACCGGATTTTACTGTGTATGTATGTTGGAGGACCAAAATAATTTTTGGACAGTTGTATCCTTTCTGTTTTCCATTGTATTTTGTTGATCCTTTTCATTACAATGTTCTTTAATAAGAAAAGGAAGAGGTATTTTGAAGACTATTGTACTAGTTATTATAAAGTGGTTTCATTAAGGATTCCAAAGTAAAGCAAGTGCATCATGTTTCTGTTTCAGGTCTTAATTGCATGTTTCATTGCTATGAAATCCTTATTTTATTGTAATAACTTGAGGGGGGCGAGGGGAAGGGTGAAGGGGAGATGAGATTTAAGAGGTCTGTATTTTGCATGATTTATTTTCTTTTTTTTTTTTTTTTTGCTTAGTTATTGAGAATGTTTATAGTACCCTGAGGGAGTTGGACTATGTAGTCAAAGAAGCGTCTGATACCTTGGAATGCAGAATTGAAAGAATTCTGGAGGATATGTCGAACACTGCTCTGATAATTTTGCCAGAAGATGAACCTATAGATGTGCTTTCTTTCCTGGAACAGATAGAAAAGCTTGCTATCTCTGCTGCTCACAAGCTATCTCAGTAGGTTTATTAATTGCACAGATTTGAAGGCCATATTTGGGAGGGATTATTTACATATTACTTTTTTGTGCATAGAGAGTTTACTTTTAAAATTTTATTGTAACAGAATGCTAGTCTAAAGCAAAATGATAGTCTCAGGATGCAGGGGCGAAACTCACAAGTATCTTGAATACAGCAGATATAAAAGTGTTTAGCATTTCATATTTTACTTCTTATGGCATTCTGATCAGTAGCAGGAAACATGAAGACAGGTAAGACTTGAAATCTCATCCCCATATTAATTGCTTGATTCTTAATGCTAGCTAGCTAATGTAAGACTTCCCATTCTCCCACTGCTGCAAATTTTTTTTGCCTATGCTTATTTTCCAGGTCATAGCAAAATAGTTCAGTTCTCCTTCAAGAAGATATCTATGCTAATTGTGCAAAATAAGATACTTTCTATTTGTTTTTTATAATTCTGATTTCACAGATTATCTTACTGCGTCATCGTGATAAGCCAGTTTTGTTAACTATAGCTGGAAAATAGCTTTTTTTTTCTTTAATTGTTACGAAGTCCAGTTGAATCAGATGTAACAGAATCTGACAAATGGGTTTCTTGATAACCTGCGTATCTTAATGTCTTACATTCTCTGTATGCCCAAGCAATAGGAACAAACTGAAAAGTATAAGGGCATTTACCTGCACATACAATTCTTCACAGTGCAGTGGGACTTGGGCAGTGTGCCTGGAAAATAACCAAGGGTGTTCCTTATGTTTGATTCCCTGTGAGTGACTGTAAGGTTGTTTTTGTAGACAGAGTCAGCAAGTGGAATGCTCTGTGAACGAACTGGTAGATATTGTTAAGCACAGGCTGAAAGCAGGTGTTGGAAGAACTCTGGAGGTAAGACCTCTACAGTGTAAAAAGTAACCTTTTATAACATAGATACTTGATATTTCACTTACATGCTGGACAATACGGTATTTGCCTAAGAATTTCCCTTTCACTTTTCAGGATTCATACACCTGTACACATCTTGACATGAAACAGAAAACACGCTGCCAAGAATGCCTGTCCTGTAGTTACTATAATCTGATGGGACAGGTTTGTCAGAAGAATACTGACTCCTTGGTCAGATGTGAGTCTGTCTTTTTCAGACACGTCTAATTTTTTAATATCACTTCAAGATTTTTTTTTACCAAGTAAAAAATATAACCTCACTTAAATATTATATTTATTTAGGCACGAAGATTTCTTTAGAATCCTTAAGACATCGATTGCGTGTTGTTGACTCTAGGTATCAGATGACAAAGTTTCTAGAGACACAGAAGGCTCCTTTGTTCAAAGCTGAAATTCAACTGGCTATTCCAAATGTTGTCTTGAGACCAAGTCTCGAAGATATTCAGGTAACAAAATAGTTGCACATCTCAGTCGTTTATGGTAAAACATTTCTAAATGCATTGTTTTAAAACAACACGTGCAGGTTTAATCTGGTATAAGAACTAAAAGGAAAGGAAAAAAAGATTAAAAGTCACTTGAGTTCGTGACATCACTGGATGCTAAGGACACGAAGCCACTGATCAGGTTTGTTATGCAGGCCAGTAGAAGGAACTGTTTTCTTAAAATCTCAGTAACTCACATTCACAAACCTCTAGTTAGAGGCAAACATTTCAAAGTAAATGCAAAAATAAAAATGAATGCCATTGATACTACCTGATTTGACTTCCTAGTCTCCTTAAACTCTTTCAGAATATAAAACAATATTATTAGTTTAAACTGTCATTCATGAATCAGCATTCTGCATAGTGAAATGGAAAGAAAAACATTACCAGCCTGAAGCCCTAAACTGTGAAAACATTTGAACACTCATTTAAAATTATAATAATTCAGCAAAATTCTTACACACATACTTACAATCTCCTTTGAGGTCTGAAATTATTCACAAAGTACTAGTAGTTTATGGTGTTGATTTGTGGAGTTTTCATTTAGCATTGTCACTGTCAATATCAGTAGTTGAATTATTTCTCAGATTTCATTTTCAGCCTTCACAGTATTGGCAGTGAGAAATCAGACCACAGAGTGTAATTTTAAAATTCCATAGATATAAGAAGTTATATAATAATTTATATAGATGCCTGTATAGATTATAGACTATACCATCACAAATTCAGACAAATGTATTCAGGCATTCTGAAATGAATGTGAAAACTATTATTATTAATAATAAATAACTAAGTTTATAACCAGGTTAAGGGGAAATAGTACTATAATTAAGTTTTGATCCCCAGTGATTCAAGATTATTGTTCGTAAAGGTCTCTTATATTCTTGTTTGAAAACCACATAAACGTAGAAGGACTGTGATAAAGCTTTATGGAGTATTCTTTCCTCTTACAAAATGTATTTTGGGTGATGTTACTTCATGCTTATTAGAATATTTCCTGTAAAGATAGAGATATAATTTTTCTGTTTTTCTATTTGGAGGATCCCTCCCCTCCCCTTGTTTGTCATAATCTCTCTGTGTGTTCAAGATGAATGTTTTGCTGTTTTTAGAGTGCTGTAAACAAAGCAGTAAATATCATATTATCAATAGCCAAAGATATCCCCCTGTGGAAATTTGCTTCCTTACATCATAAACAGCAGCAAGTGAGTACTTTATTTTGATTATTTAAAAAATTTAGTATTTTGGTTAACGTTTCCTAATCTTATAAGAACATGTTCTGTATTGGTACTTTGACTTGTAATCTGGTGCATCCTCTTGTTAAGTGAAAGAGTTTTTAATCTCTGTACTAAGTAATTGAACATAAGAATAATAATTCATAAACCTGGTTTGGTGGTTTCTAATACTAAAATAAAAAATTGCTTTAAAATCTTTTCAATCTGCTGTTCAAGTATGATGATGATAGAGTAGATAATGTGTGAAAACTAATATTATCCATGGGTACTACTAGCTGAGTATATATTATTATCAGTCTTCCCAGGCAAAAACTATGTTTTAAATTAAACTTTCAGACTGCATACAGTACCTATAATGCTACAGTAAATACAATATAAATATTTTAACTGGCATTAAAATGAACACTAAAACCTTGTGAAGGTCTGAGGTATAAATAGGAACTGGAATTTCTTGAAGTACAGAAATGCACAGTAATGGTAATCAAATGGCCTTAGTTCTCTCCTTTGGTAATGGAATACAGATCTATGTAGATCTGTGCTGAAAAATGTCTTTGTAAAAATATCTTCCCATTTCATCGATCTAATATGAAAAACAGATCAGCTCATTTCAATGAAAAAAACCCATTCAAGTCCTGCAAATAAATAATAAAAAAAACGAACTAGGAAGGAGTGGGTTGAATTCAGTTTCCTCAAGCAGAATTGTTTGTTTATTTCCAAGCAACCAACCCTCCACTGCCTCCAGGGCTTTTTTTGGCCAAAAATGGGTATGGATTATAATTCCACACTAAAGAAAGCAGGAAGACCTGAGCAGTTGTGTAGGATCAGGAAACAGCACAGTTGTACTTGTCCATGATGCATATTTGACAGATGTCATTCAGAGATGATTAATATAGAGCTCCACATGGCAAATTTTTATAAAAATTTTTATAAGATCTAGCTTTAACACTAGAACTATAGCTCTGTAAAAATCCAAGCTAAGAACAGGGAGTTGCCTTGTGGATGCTTTCTCTGCACTTTCTCTCTGTTCTTAGAAGTACTTATTGTGTGTGCATTATTGGGCATTCCATAATGTAAAAAGAATAAATAAAACTACTGGACATATGTTTTTTCTTGTTTAATTTATACCAGATTGAACAAGCTGTCGCTGTAGAGCTAGGTGATGAGAGCAAACTCACCAGGATGGTGGCACTGAAACCTTTAGACAAGCAGATCATCGAGCATAAGGATGTAAACAAAGTGGTGATCCAGCTAAATACAATTATTTTATCTCTTAAAACTGAAGCATCGGATCTCCTGAACAGCTTTTCTGAATTTTCAGGCATCTGGAACAAGGTTAAATACGTATTTAATAAAATATGTTGCTGTATTTTGAAATCTTCTAAATCAGCTGGTTTGGGTTGCATAAAGAGCCTGTGTGCTAAGTAAGAAGCATGGGTTTCATGATAGAATCCATAGAGCCGTAATGCATCCTCTGTCTACTCTTTTGTTGACCAGAGTTTGTAATTCTTTACCAATTAAACTATATACGGAAGAAAACAGAAGAATAAAAAAGAATGTTGAAGCATAAATAAGCTTATGCTCTCATATGCTTCTGCATCTTTCTCACAGGATCTTGTCTGCATAGGTTATAAAAAAGAATAATTTAGCAGAATATCTGAGAAATTGCAGACTACAAAACTACTCCTGAATATTAAACTGACTAGTTCTCCTTCAGCAGCCACTGCTGAAAACAGCTTTTCTGTTTCTTCACAAAAATGATAAACTAAATCTAGGAAATCTTTCCAGTAATAAGGATTGCAAAGCAGAAGTGAATCTGGACTGATGGAGTTGTCTTCATTAGGAAGTAGGTCCAGTCGCATAAATGGTAAAGCTCTGAGGAGTGTTTTGGCAGGAAATATTTCATTAAATAAAACCTTGTGTACGTTCTGACTAGTGAAATACAACTCTCTGTGGATGAACAACTACTGGTCTGACCTATCAAAGATACTTTAGTCAGGCTGAGAAACAAGCAATCAGAACAGTTGTAATCTTATCTTTGTAACTGCTCACTATTTTTAACTTCCCCTTCCTAAACCAACTCACAGGTGACCACGTGCCCAAAGCTGGCTCTTTTGTAGTTAGAGTTCAGGCTAAGACAGGGCATTTCACCTTGTCATCCTTTCTAGGGTTCCAAATCTTAATGCTTAGTTACCTCAGTTCTTGGAGATACTGTTAGAGCTAACTGCATGTTGATGGTATGTCATTTCACCCAGACAAGACACAATCAGATCGGATGATGCAGTAGCATGATAATGTTTCCTTTTTACTAAAATCTTCTAAAATAGTAAAATAGTCAATTAATCTGCTCCTTAACCTTAAAGTTCCACAGGATTTGGCACTGTTTCTCCCCCCCCCTGTTTTTATAATCGCTGTGGGACCACTGGGAACTGTCACTGGTAACTCATTATTGGCCAGAGAAGCCGTAACAGCTTCTCAGGAACCTCACAGTGCAGACTGTAAATGAACATCATTGAGCTGAGTGAAGATCATTTGTCTGTAACTGAATTGAGAATCTAGCACATTTGTTGAGCTGGTGACAGTGAAGTTCTCACCTCTGCAGAGACTGGCCTGCCTTAGCACTGAGCATTCTTCTTTTTCCTCTGTTGCCCTTAAGCAAGCTTCAACAAGCTAAATGCTCATTCTTCCCTTAGATCTATCCTTCCCTGCCAAACTGTGCATTCTCTGAATGGCCAGGCCATTTGTAGCTAGAAATTGCAGTTAAATATACTGTTTCAGGAAGAGTGAAGATGGCTGAGTACAATTACTACCATTTATATACCTGTTAGAGAATGTGAGCTGCTTTTGGGGGTTTGCAGACAGAAGGGAGACTGGGAAGGAAATATTTCCAACAAAGATTTAGCAGCTACATTGTAAATTTTGTGGTAATGTTTGGATGGATAAAGGATATCCTGATCTGTGTCAATTTTTGAGTTACAGATAGATTTCAAGTGCTTTAACGAGTGCTGTACAAAGAGTAAGAGTCAGGAAAAGCAGTTCTAGTGAAATAATTTGATTTTAATGCTTATATCTCACGCTCTTTTAGAGAGGGGACATTTGTGTTTGCACCGTACATCAGACAAGTGTGTCCTCTGTAGGTTATTGTAATACCAATGCTAAATAATAATTTAAATAAACATCTTTTTTTATAGGATCCAGAGGAAAAAGTGAGGGAATTTATAGATACCAAACCAACAATGGCTGAATTCCAAACTCAAATCAGATACTTTTCTGTAAGTATTACATCTTTGATAAAAATGAACTGTTTGGAGAAATTGTAGTGAAATTAAAAGCTGAACACTTGTGTTTGTCTTAGCAATTAGAAATGCAAATCAGAGAACTGCCAAATCACTGTGTACTGGAATCAGTGGATCTTACAACAGAGTCATTGAAAATAGCTTTAATTAAAAAAGACAAAGAACATTTGGATTAGCTTTGAATAAAAAGTCTGCCACAGATATGGATGAAATTTATTCATTCATTGAAAATGTTAGCAAGAGATTAAGCAGACCTATCCATGACCTTGATGATGTACGGGGAGCAATGGAAGCACTAAAGGAAATTCGAGAGAATGAGATTAAAATTGACATGACGGTTGGACCTATAGAAGAATCTTATTCTGTGCTTCACAAATACAATCTGCTTTTTCAAGATGGAAATACAGAAAGAGTTGATGGATTGGCTTATGCCTGGAAGAACCTAAACACACAGGTATCATAGCTGTATTATTTCTCAAATCATATATATAGCAAAGCTATTGTCAGCCTTTTAAATGTTGAAATGCTAGAACAAAACTATTTTCTTACTTTTTCCCTGCCTCTGTTATGCCTCTTTTTCCTCTTTGTCTGCACATAGGCACTGCAGGTTGAGGACTTGCTGCTGAAGGTACAACCAGACATGAAAACAGATTTACTGAGTGGTGTTCAAAGATTCCAGACTGATACTGCAGAATTTTACAAAGATTATGATGAAAAGTAGGTGACCTGTGATGCAATACAATTCTACTACAATTGTTCAAAAATGGTGTATCTAAAAGGCTTCAGAAAATAAAGACAGCACAGCCTCAATGTATATATGACAGCCGAAAAAACCCCCTAATTTCAGAATAATGTAAGATGGGCAGATACTCTTCCTGTCACAGATTCATTCGCATAATTTCAATGCTGGAGTCAGTGAAATTCCAGAAGAGTTAATAGGTTGGGGAGAAAAACTCAAATTCTCAATCCAGATCCAAATTTAAAGATTTTTTTGGTATTCTAAACTCAACAAATAGCAGATATTTAAGTGTGTAAGTAGTGCCTTGAATGTGGCTGGATATTCCAGTTCTGGGTATTTCTAAGTTCACTGAGTCTCAATCAGTCTTACTTCTAAGCTTACTTTGGCTTTTTTTTTTTTAATTTAAATTGTGGAGTATTTGTGCTTCGTTCAACACTTCTACATTAGCAAGAAAGGAGAGACAGAATTTGGCTTGCTGTGATCCATTATGCTATGATCCATTACACAAACATGCACGGTGTGTGTTTTTTGGCAATGAAGTTCACATCAGCAGCTGACCCTAGGCGTGCGCTGCACACCTATAGCCCGTGGGCAGTGTGAAGCAGCTTTATGTACAGTCTCTGTAGGCTGCCTTGCTGTTATGAACAGAATTCAGTGCACACATAGAGCACGCACCCCTGGAGAGTCTTGGAGAATATATACTTTTCTCCTAGGGCAGGTGCTTCTGCATTGATGTTACAAGCAGTATGGTCCAAATGGTAACCGGGTGCTTGGCTTCAGCCTTTGCTTCACCAGGAGTGAAACTTCTTGAAGGCACACTAGCAGTGTCTTTGAGTGCAAGCTTCAAGACTCCAGCTATAGACACAAGGTGACTTGGCACCTAAAAGGAACCTACTAGAGCACCAAGTTGCTAATGTGGATGCATGCCTAGTGCTGCCTGCAGTTTTGCTCTTGGAGTCGTCCGGAGGAATTCGTGGAAACACCCTGTGGCTGCTAATGGTTGCAGGGACCCTGACGTCGTCCCCCCTCCTAGAAGTTCAGCTGCCTGGGGTCAGGGCCAACGTAGATCTAGTACCTCTGAGGGCTTCCCCCTCCCTTTGGCGACAGAGCACTCCCACGCAGCTCTGCTGGGAGGCCTCAGCAAGGCTGACACCCCTTCCTGTGGGATCTGCTTTTAAGCTGAGGCTTCACTGCTTAACCCCCTGACCTACAACTCCAGCTCTGTCACAGCTACGCCTGAGCCTGGCCATGGGCCCTACTGAACTGAACCTGGATCCTAATGCACAGACTCATTTCTCAGCCCAATCTCAGAACAGTCTGGTAACCATTGAACTGTGTCTTACCCTGGTTAGCTTCGCTGGACCTGCTCCTGACCCTGACTTGCTGACTCACCTTCCCTGCTTGACCTTGCTCCCGTGTAATTATTGTGGACTTGTCTAAAGATCTGGGCTCTCATTTGAACCTGACTGCCATCCCAGGCCTGTCCTGCTGTCCTTGCTCAGGTACTATGGGACCAGGCCCTCGTTGCCTCTGCTGACCGTGTTACTGCTTTCACCTCCAGGTTTCATTTTCTTTGCCAAGCAGCCACCCCACACTGCTCTCTGATGGCCATCTGCCTGTATTTCCTTCTAGAAATAACCATGGCACAACAGAAGATGACACACTTACAGTTCTCATCCCAAAATATTATGATACAGCCAAGAAGTGGTTCCAGGCATGAGAGTTGGGGATTACACCCAGTCCTGCAGCTGAGATGTACTCATTAGGGCAAAATCCTATTTTTTCTGTTACTTTTCTGAGTGCTTAATTATGGTTCTAGTACCAGCTACCAGTTTTCACCCCTGAATTAGGTACCTGCTGTCTTTCCATTTTTAAGAATATAAATGAAACGAATCATTAAAATCTATTTTACAAAAGAAATGGGAGAATAACAAAGACAAAACATTTGTAGATCTTTTTAGCTGTTGGTAATATGTATGGTGACCTAGATGAATTTTATTATTAGAAAATAAATTGGACTTTCTTTCCAAGTCTACTCAATGTGTAATGTTGGGACACTGAATATACTTTGCATTTTCTCTTTCAGTCTCTTTTGTGAAAATTTCTGGAAAAAAAAGTTAGAAAATATTAAATACTGTTCAGTAAGTAAGGTCTGGGTTCTATTGTGCTGTTTTGTGAAACCTGTATTGTTGATACTTGCGCTGAATTTATTTTGTTTTTTACAGGGGCCCCGGTGAGGAGAATGTTCCTCCCCATGAAGCAAGTGACAGATTACAGATCTTTCAAGCCAAATTTGATGAACTATGGAGGAAGTATATATCCCTTTCTGGTGGGGAAGAATTATTTGGTCTTCCCGTCACAGGTAGTTTCTCAAAGGATATGAATACCTGGTCCTAGGCTATTAGATTTTTCTTGTGGGTCCTGCTAAATGCATTCACTGCTGGATTCATTGTAGAAAAATTCCTTGCAGTAAATTATTATTGTCTTTCCTATGAAAAGCAGCTGTGTGAAACTGGCTCTCAGTCTGCACATACATAAACATCAGGTGGAAAAATATTGCACTGTTCCGTGTATCTCAGGGTCCAGCTGCTTAGCTCGCTAGCTTTTTCTGTTCAGAGCTAAGCGCATCTCATGCCTGTATTCTTCCATGTCCAAATTTGGGAAATGTTGCTGAAATATTCAAGTTGTCCCTGCTCCAGATATATAATGAATTCCCTTGGGCTGTGCAACTGATCTGTAATTTCCTTATGTCTCCTAGTCAGACATACTTCAAGTTTGGAAGACCATGGTGTGAATTAAAGTTGCAGCAGAATGTATGATAAGCACTTTAATTTTTACATACTCAATTCAGTAGGTTTTCCTGTCTGAAGGTGTATGCAATAATCACAATGTATTCAACCAGGAATTCCCAAAGATATGAAAGAAACTAAACAAAACATTTCTGTTAAGGACGTCCATTTTAAATACTTTTATTGTGTAACATATCCTATATTTTTATTTTGAAAATATACCCCCCATCCCCAACCTCTGCCTTTTAAGTAAATAGTGAAAATTGAGATGGGGGATATTTTACTTCCCGTCTAAACCTACAGTGTATTCCTTTGCCATTTCAGCTACTTTTTCAACATTATCTCCCTCACAGAGATAGGTGCAGCACCTCCCTTATAAGATTACATCTACCATTATAGAAGAATATTTATTAAAAAATCAGCAATCTAACTAATTACTGTGCATCAAAATCTGGTGTTCTCATATAATGTAACAGGAAAAGTTTGTCTTGCTAGACACTATCTAAAAGACTGCAAGTCTGATGGCATACATTTATTAAATACCAATTTTAGAAATACATGGATTTTTATGTTCATGAATACAGTTCTACCTAATTAACATTCACAAATTTCTTATTTTAAAATTTGAAACAGAGTATCCTGAACTGCACAAAATTAAACGTGAGCTTTCATTGCTTCAGAAACTGTACAGTCTTTATAATTCAGTAACTGCTAATATTGATGGATACAATGAAATGCTTTGGAATGATTTAAATATTGAAAAAATTAACAATGAACTTCTGGATTTTCAAAACAAGTAAGTTATTTGCTGAAGTGCATACAATTTTTATTTCTCAGCTCTCTGTGTTAATTAGCTTGTGAAAATTGGTCTGAGGGGCAAAAATCTGTTGGTTTATTTCAAGCTTGGGCTTGCTCAAGTGCTCAGCGCAGCTGCACTCCTTGCAGACTGCAGTGCAATACGCAGCTAATGCGTGACCTTACTTAGCTCAGTCTGCGAGTCACTTCAGGCTTGTTGGGGTTTATCGATGTGGTAGGTTGTAGATTGTTTAATAAATAAGGTGCATAAACCTGTGGCAAGGTGGTTGTAAGTATAAATAACCTTCGTAGCTGATCTTCATATATTACCTTCTCAGTGATTTAGTTTACAGCTTGTTAGTCCGTGATGTTGGACAGAATTTTGAAGTTACTGTCTAATTCTGCACATTTGTAATGACTTAAATTGTTATTTCAAGAAGGGTAGGTAGCCACACTAAATTCTGAGGAGTTATTTATGAGGTTTGAGAAGAATAATGTTTTCCACATTACATGTAAAATGTAATGCTTTACTGGAGTCAGAGGAATTTTTCTACTGTGTTGGTAAAGATGCACCTTTGGTTTTTCAACAGCCATGGCTGGGTCTGCAAGATTTCCATGACCCAGCTTGTTACTTGTCTCCCCTCTAAGGGAGGGGCTCATGAACCTACAGGATTTGGGTTGTTTCCCCTTTAAACTCTGATTCCTGGCACTGGAGTATGGACAGAATTGCTAGAAAAGGAGAATTTTGTTACATCCAAAAGTGGAGAGTCTATATGCAGGTCTTAAGTATTCTGTGCATCCATTCCTTTAGAGTAGTTATCTGTGCCTGTCTATGTTTTAGTCTTAATGGGAATTACAAAATATACATGGGAACCAAATTACATGCAAAAGGTTGAGAATAAATACGGAATATTTTTATCCTGTGCATATCTATTGGAAAAAAAGATGTGAACTCTCTCTGTTTTGTTTTTTTCTTTTATTATTTTTGTATAAGAGTTTTCTTCACCTCTTTACACAGTGGCTCTGATCACTTTCTTAGTGAGTTCTGTCGAGACAAGTTCATATTCAATATAAAGAGCTTTCTCTTCTGTGGAGCCTCACTTCTGGAACAGCCAGTGCGTGTGTCTGTCTGCTTCACCAGTAATTCTGATCAGCTTTTGATTTTGGATTCTTCAATGTGACCTGAAAGAGTCTTCGCTTACATTTTGGTATTATTTAAGAGATTGAGATAAAATCTGTGTTTTTCATCTCATCCCAAATCTTTGAAAAGCATCGGAAAGGTTACTTGTGCTCAGGCTTTTGAGTAATACAGTATTTTGACTGTGTCACCATTTTACCAGGGTCCATTTCTGTACACACTGAAGGAGTGAGGTGGAGATTTTCTTCTTTTTCTAGAAAAACTGAGTGAACTGTCCTCTAATCATCAATTTGGAAAAAACTCTTCTTCTTTTTTTTTTTTTTTTTTTTTTAAATAATAATAGTAAAAGTAAATGTATGTGAAATATATATACTTCTGCATTTGGACAATATCTGTAAGTCTTGATCTCATTTCAATAGAATTCTGTAATCTGCATCATCATTTTTTCTATAGTTAATTATATTTTACAGGTTTGTAGGACTCTCTTTATGCTTCCTTCTCCTGGAACTCTGAAGGAAGCCATTGCATGACAATGAATGACTTTGGAAAGTTATGTGTTTCTCTTTTTACTTCACATGTGACTTTTTTCCCGTTCAAGTGTTGAGCTCTATTTGGAGCAAGGTGATCAACAATAGGCAGTGAATACTTTTTTGTAATAAAAGTCTAACCCAGTACTATCCTTCCTTTGGTAGGCTTGCTAGAATTATTGCATCAAGCTATTCTCTTTAAAGCTGAATAAGTTTAAAGAGTGTTCAGGGAGTACCCACAGAAATAACTAAGATGGTATACTGTGTTATGAAAGGAGCAGGAATACTGGAAATACAATGAGTGTTTTAGAGTAATTGTAAAGATATGCATAGTTCTTTACTTTAATGTTCTTTTTTGCTACCCCTTTTAAAAATAGTAATATAATAGAAAACCTAGAATTGTGAAAAGAAGAATCACAAAAATAAATGGATTTATTTTCACCTACAGTTAAAAATAGATAAAAAGGGTAAATATTTAGAGAAAACACATGCGGTAGAGAACATTATAGAAGTTTATAGTAACAGCTAGAGAGAATTTTCGCTTTATGTTTTACCTTGATATAGTGTAAAGAGAATGTCCAGTAAATTTAAGAAGGAAATTTAAACCTGATCAATAGAGTAGTTTTTTAACATAGTGTGTAACTGATGGAACTTGCTGTTAGAAGGTATCACTGAGACTAAGATAAAGAAAAAAGGTATCTGTATAAAAAAAAAAAAAAAAAAAGCAGTATTTATTACCAAGCTAAGAGATCCCATTTCCCATTGCCAGCCTAAGACAAAGTTTGTAAGAATGTTACTTTTTCTGCCTCAGCATGGAAGTAGCCCGGAACCGCCTCTTAAAACCTTATCAATACATGGCAGAGTAAACTTTTCTATTCTGCAATGTTTTTCTCTAGCATATTTAATACTACCTGTTGTTGGATTGAAGATGAAAGACTACAGTGATTATTGTAGTGCCATGACAGTATGCATGTGTTCATCTACCTCTTACCAGCAGGCAGTGAAGAATTCACACATACTCCAGCGTTGTGTGACAGATCTGATTTTGGGCTGAAGAAATTTTTCATTATGGGTTGGTTTTACGCAGCTTTTAATTTCTGCTATTGAGCTGTAAGAGAACTACTGTCAGTCTTTGGTCCATGGCTTTGGCAGATGAAAATTGGCATGACTTGTTGGAAGCAAGTGGAACTGTGACAATTTACAGCACAAGAGGTTTTTCAATTTTTTTTTCATCTTGAATTGTGCATGAAGGAAGATTTTTCTTTAGATATCTTTCATACAAACTAGGTATAAAATAGGACTTGTTTGATTGAAACAGAAGTATTTTTCACTTTGCAAGCAGGTCAGTTTTAGTTTAGGATGTACTTTATTATACTTGAAAAAATAATGTTGCTTAATCTTTTTCCCCCTTTACACAATCAGATGCATTTTCAAATTTTTGATAAAACAATGACACTGCAAAAGCTTAAGTTCAGACATGGGTTCGCACATGAAATTAACCTCCTTTAATTGAAACTGAAATAGAAACCAAACCATTCTAGTAGGTTTTTTACTGTCTTTAGAAGTGTTTCAGGCCTGCAGTCAGAAACAATCAGATACGTATTATGTTGCCAGCTTGCAACTGGATTTTTATTTACAGTTTACTGGCCCACTGGTTGAAAAGTGAGAATATATTGTACTATTACAGGGCGGATTGTGATTATTAAGAATATAATATTTCTTCTTTTTTGTGCTTTTTAAAGGGTCCGTAAGTTACCGAAAGCATTGAAGGAACGGCAAGCTTTTCAAGACCTAAAAAAAATAATTGATGACTTCACAGAGAGCTGTCCTTTGCTTGAAATGATGGCAAACAAAGTATGTTCAGCTTAATAATTTGGAAATAAGATTCAATTGAACAACTCTATTGAAGACTATCTTGTATGACTATAAGATACTTTCCATAATTCTTTTTCATAGATAAAAGCAGCTATATTTATGGCAAAAATCTAGTTAGGCTTAGTTACAGAAAAGTAAAACAAAAGACTTCATAATATGATTAGAAGAACTATTAATGCTTTCAGTGGAATAGAAATCAAGACTCTTCTATTTGTTTAACAGAGACAGTGCAAAATTATGTGGTCATTCTAGTCCTAAAAATAATACAATTTTTAAAAATCTTCCCTAATTCCTATGGACTTTTCTAGGCAATGATGTCACGACACTGGGAAAGAATTGCGCAAGTAACTGGGCATCATTTTGATGTTGATTCTGAAAATTTCTCTTTGAAAAACATCATGGATGCCCCTTTATTAAAATATAAAGAAGATATTGAGGTACATGTGCCTTTCTGTTTTTTTTTTTGTAATGAATAACTTGTGATCTGGGGCTCTGTGCTTTTGAAATCCTGTTTCTAGTCAGCTTTGTAACATTACAAAAAATGGCTTTATTTGGAGCATTCTTTTCAACAGTTTGGTAGCTTGTATTAGCGTGTTAATTAGTTTATTTCCTTTTTATTCTGCAGAAGGATTAAATGGATAGATGGCATTACACTAATCCTTCCATAGAAGGAATTCTGTTGTTTTAAGAGTAGTGTGATTCCGTCATGCATCTGGTTTAGGGTCTGCTTACTTACAATTTTTTCTTCCTTTTAAATGTCTATCGGAGAGAAAAAATAGTTGATGTAAGTCTGAGCCTGTTAAGTGCTCAAAATCCCTGGAACGCAGTAGAAGTGGAGGATATAGGATTAAAGGAGAACAAGGATTTTGTATTTCAAAAGTGACTCTTCACAAGAGCACAGAGAGATAAGAAGGCTTATGTAGTGTGTACAAGCTATAAAGCTATTGCCCCCTCCGTTTTGGGGACAGTAGTTATCTTGCAAGTACATTAGCTTTATGCTTGATACCTTTTGCAGCAACAATGTATGGCTAGAAATAAAGAAGGAAAACCTCAACAGTTTCTAACTTCAATTCTGTTGTCACTTAGCTAAATCTGTGATCCCTCCAGAGTAATGACCTGATTTGTCTTGTTCCACAAAGGAACACTTCTAAGACAAAAACATGAAATCAAACCTCTGCTGTACCCTATTTCCAGACAAGAATTTAAGCCATGTGAAAGAGTCAGAGTTACAGCCTTACACTCAAGGAAAGCCTTTAAACCTGTGATGGAATCCAGGATGCTCCTGAACCTGAATTTGGGGTCCAATCTGAGTAGCTGCTCCTTTTCTCTCTGATGTAATAACTAATTTTATGACAATCCTGTCCTCACCATCTTCAAGAAGTAGCAGGCAGTCATGTTGTCCACATATGCTTTATTCTTGGACTATTTATTGTTTTTTTATTGGTAATGTGTATTTTCCTTAAACCCCTCAGTAGGTGTATTTGCCTTCAAATTTTAATGCATACAGAGAGGCAAATTCTGCCTGCAGGTTCATTGACTTAGTGAATTTTCAGAAGTGTAAGGTGCTAATACTAGTGAAGTTGGAATATAGCCTATAAAATGTTCCAGTTACAAGTAGTACTATAATATAATCTAGTTTGTAATATAATAAATTTTAGGTGTTTCAATGTATATTTTCATTAGCTAGAACTAACATGGAAGTCTGGATCTAGCCAATGAAGTTTAATTGTCTTTAAAAGTGTGCATTATATTAGCCTTAGAGGAATGTAATTTACTGGTTTAATTTTGCACAGGACATCTGCATCAGTGCTGTTAAAGAAAAGGATATTGAAGCAAAATTGAAGCACGTCATCAGTGAATGGAGTACTCATGCTTTCAGTTTTGGCCAGTTCAAAACTCGAGGAGAACTCCTTCTGAAAGGATCAGATATATTGGAGAAAATAGCTTTGATGGAAGACAGTCTCATGATATTGGGGTCACTCATGAGCAATAGGTACAAAATTTAATAAATGCACATATTGTGTAAATCTAATCAGTCCCAGAAGTAAACAGTGATCATCTTAGGTTCTTTTTCCCTTTAACTCATGTTCCTATAGGTATAATGCACCATTTAAGTCCACTGTACAACAGTGGGTTCAGAAGTTGACCAATACTGCAGAGATAATTGAGAACTGGCTTACTGTACAAAACCTCTGGATTTACCTTGAAGCTGTGTTTGTTGGTGGAGATATTGCAAAACAACTGCCTCAGGTATGTTGACTTATGATAAAAATATGTGAATGGCAATATGTTGTACCAAGAGGTTAGCCACATCACAGAGTTTACTTGCCAATGCATATAACGCATGTAAGTTTTTTTGGGCTGCACATAGGCAGTTCAGAAGAACCATTGCCGAACTGCGGTCTGTCTGGTTGAACTGCTTAGAACTTGGTCAAGCCTGCACGAACAGGACCGTTTGTAATTCAGGCTCAAATGTTCCTGTTAGCTTGCGACATCAGTGAATCATATGATAGTACAGGGCTCAGGACTACTTAATTGTACAAAACTGCTTTATCGCTTTTGCCGTATATGGAAACATCCCTTTCTCCCTGTGTGTGCATGTTTGTAGGCTCTAAGTCGTGTACAATAGAGTGACAGGTCTTCTGTATGAATTCTGTACTCGCTAGGACTCAGTGTAATGAAGTCCCACAGAACGATGCTGCAAGACTTGGGCAGCTGCATATGTGCTAATCTGTGCGAACTATTGCAACCTCTTCAAAAGGCAATTACCGCCTTCCATGATAGCAGCTGCAAAAGAGTTAAGGAATGACCTGACTTCCGGTAGGAGACAAACACCAGAAAAAGACATTCTTTCTGTTGTGTCTCCTAATGAGAGGCTTTCATGCAGTTCTAACACCACAGTTTAATAGCCCTGGATTGACCGGTGCTGTAACTGAACAAAATCATTATTATTGGGAAATTATTAAATATGAATTTATTTCAGGCTGCATCTTTTATAATTAAAGGCTTACAATTTCCAAAACTAACATTAATTTTTGTAACTTAAGTAAAGCTTTCTTAAATGTTATTTAACATAACAATACTTTTTTTTAGTTTGTGAGATATGTTTATATTGTTAATGCTTATCAGAGAATCAAGAAGCAGTTTTTGCAGATGAACAAATGCTGCAGCACAGCTGAGGCATTTGATAACTGCTAAAGCTACTTCTTACAAGGATAACGTATGAACCAGTATCCTGGAAAAAAGCAAATGTAGTCAGTATCTTTGAAGAAGGAGGAGAAGGAACAACTTGGTAGAGGAGTAATGATAGATGAGTGGGCTTAATTGCAATTCCTGGTTGAATACTGCAACAAATAACTGTCTGTAAGAACCTGGAAGTTAACAAGGAGATGAGTAACAGTCAGTGCGGATTTGTTAGGAGCAAAACCTGTCAAACAAATTAATTTATTTTTAGGGTGGGCAACAAGCTTTGTGGATAGAGGAAAACCAGTAATTGTTATATATCCTGATAGTCTTTTGGCTTGTCTCTCATAGTACCATCAGAAAATGAGTTTTAGATTGCTGGTGTGTGAAATGCAGGCAGAAAAGTGGAATGCATAAACAGCAATAACCAATAACTGGAATATTGTAACTGGTTTTGGCCAAAGAAACACATAGACAAAGTTGAGAAAGCATAGAAGAGGGTCATAAGAATAAGGAACTCTCCAGGAAGAGTGATGCACAAGAAAAGATTCAACAAACTAAGGTGGTTTGTCTTGAAGGAGAGGAAAAACTGAAGAGAAGACGTGATAAGTTTTAGAATATAAGGTTTGCTCTCAACAGGAAGAAAACAATGTGTTCTCTGTATCTATGAATATGATGAGAAGTAATTGGTGTACACATAAGGCAGATTAAGCGTAGATATTAAAACAGAGTCACCAGCAGCAAAGATTGCCTGGAGAGGCTTCTGAATCTTTAAACACAAGACAGATATTTTTCAAGAGTGGCATGGGTATGATCCTGTCTTGTCGTGGGCAAATGGCTTTGGATGGTCTCTTGAGGTCTCTTCTAGTTCTCAGATAATTTATGATCCCATTAACATTTCATTTGTTGTAGGTGAAAAAAGAGTGTTTGAAGTCAGTATACCCAGTGTATAAAAATATTTATTCTCCAGCTCTCAATATTTGAGAATTTGTCTCCCTTCACCTACAATACCTTAGAAGTGCTGCAGCTTCAGACTGCTTGTACTGGTTTTGTTTGTCAAGTATTACTACTAACAACTTACTCCTCATAACCTGTGTGGAGCAGCCATAATGTGGCATTGTGTATTGCTATTAGGAAGACTGTCATTTCTGAGAAGGCTGCTGTTTGAGTTTTCTGGTGTGTGTTGGAATCCTTTTATATGAACAATTTTGGTGCCCAACATGAAGTAAAAGACATTTCTAGAACTGTCCCATTGGACTCTTTCTCTTGCAATTTGAAGTCTGGTCATTATAAGCACCGATCACTATAAGCATGCCTATGAATATTCATATGTTAGTCCTGCAAAGAAGACTTGAACAGCAAGGGAAATATGAAACTGTTACCTTGTCTCATGGAATTCTTTAATTTTTAGAATTTGAAAAACATGAGGAAGAGCTAATGCACTTTTCATGTACTCCAGGAAGCCAGAAGATTTCAGAACATTGATAAATCATGGCAGAGAATTATGCAGAGAGCCCATGAAACATCAAACATCGTGCAGTGCTGTGTTGGAGATGAGACTTTGGCACAGTTATTACCACATTTGCTGGAACAATTGGAAATCTGTCAGAAATCACTGACTGGGTATTTGGAAAAAAAAAGGTTAATATTTCCAAGATTTTTTTTTGTGTCTGACCCTGCTCTTCTGGAAATCCTTGGTCAAGCATCTGATTCCCACACTATTCAGGTACAAGTAATAAGGCAATAATGTTCTTATGGTCGGTATTAATAAGTAACGACTATGGAGGATTTTGTTATTTACTTGAGAGAATTTATTTCACTTATGGAAAGATTTATAGAATCTTCTAATACAGGATTTAAAGGCAAAGTAAGAATGCCGTATCAGATCAGTTTATGGAGCTTTTTTTTTTCTGATTCTATTGTAGGCACATTTATTAAGTTTGTTTGACAATGTTAACCGAGTGGGATTCCATGAAAAAAACTACGACCAGATTTTATTGTTTGAATCTCAAGAAGGAGAACAGGTCAATATTATCGAACCAGTTTTAGCTCAGGTAATGAAAGTATATATTGCAGTTTTTCATTACTTGATTTAAAGAAGATTTATGTTTTAGAGACCAACAGTATCACGTCATGCTATTATTTGACTAGCTGAATGAAAACATTCCAATATAAACAGCAAGAGCAAAGGCCAGAAAGGACAGGACATTTGTGTCATTCTGTAATGATTACTTTACCTGTTTTTTCAGCAGTATTGACATGAAGTGCCAAATGCATCACATATCTCTAGAAGGGCAGTGGACCAGAAGGAGGAGAGGAAGCTTGTAAAGATTAGAGGATAACAAAGAAGGAAATAGGAGTGAGAAGGGAGAAAAGTTGTGTAAGGCTTTTTCTCCTTGTGAATTATTCATAAACTAATTCTTTAAAACTACTTTCGTGTTTATTTCAGGGCAATGTGGAATTCTGGTTAGGTCAGCTGCTGAATGGGATTAGGAAAACAATCCACACCATCATTAGACAGGCATCAATGGCCATTAGCGATTCAGGATTTAAGCTGTATGACTTTCAGGCAATGTTTCCTGCACAAATAGGACTTCTGGGAATTCAAATGATCTGGACCAGAGATGCAGAGAATGCACTGAAGAGTACCAAAACAGACAAAAAGGTAGTATTTAATGAATCTTTGGGGATTAATTAAAAACATTGTTTGGAACAGTGCATGTTGTGAAAAGTTAAAAGTAACATGTAGGAAAAAGCACAAAATGCTCGTTAAGTAACCAGAATAACAAATAAACTAGCAGGAAAACGGAATGATATAAAATGTGTTAAGAGGTTGCACCTCCTCACCATCCCCCAGCACGTGCTTTAGAATTGCTCCTAGTCCTGTGATTTCTCTGTTCTGTCAGTGCAGTCATCTTGGGCAGGGAGAATTTCTCAGTCCGGGACTATAGGGAATCTTATCCTAGTACTCTCCCAAATTCAAATTTGGAAAGAAATAAGAGCTCCCAAAATTTGGGGAAATAACTATACTTCATGGGCATTGGTCTACTGTAACAGAGTGTATTAGATTCTGCAGTTGATGAGCTCTTTTTTTAGGGAAGGGAAAGAATAGAAGCCATTTGAGGAGGTGTGGGCTTAATCTCAGACACATAGAAAAGATACTATTAACACCAAGGTGTTATTACTAACACTGAATCTATGAAGGAGGAAGGAGAGGATGTGAACTAAAGAGTTGCAGATTACCATTAATCAAGAATATACAGTGAGATTGGACTAAGAACTAGTAACACCATCCTACCATAAAAGTAAATGCAGGGGAATGGTACCATACTGTACTTTGATACTGAATGAAAACAAAGACTCTAGACTATGGAGAAGACCACTTAGTGCTACATTTTCTACATTGTACGAAGTTTAAAAAGGGCATAGACCTGCTTTGTGTCCGCTCCAGCTCATATGCTAACTAGACGCGAAGATTCTTTTGCATTAACTAGAAAACAACTTTTGATTTTTTGGGGATGAACTCTGTGTGTGTGTTTGGGAGGTGGGGAGGTAGTTTAGTTCTCCATTCGTTTTGCAGTGGTTTTAGCATTGTTTTCTCAGCAAACAGTGTGAGTTTTAGGCTTTGCATATATTTACAGAAAGCTAGTGTGATTGTTCTGTCATACATTTGGAACAGGAGTATATATAAGCTGCCCTTTCTGAAACCTCAGCACTTTAGAATTTGTTGTGTACCAGGAACATCACTGACAGAGGCTGATGCTGTTTACATAACTCAGTATTGTATAGTCAGTATTGTATTTTGTGGAACTTTGTAACAGAATCTGGTGCCACAAAAGAAGTTACTATTTTAGCATTGGCATCTAAAATTACACTACATCTCCCCCCTCCTCTGGTTAGAGGATGTGATAGATCTCCAGGTTCCTGTTCACCCTAAAGAGTAGATACTGCTTGGGCTGATGTGCAGTACCCAAAACCAGAGACTGATGGTTCTGAAAATATGCAGGGATGCAATCAGCTGAAGATGTAATATATAGTAGAAGGAGCAACAGTCTTGGAATAAAATCTTATGATGTGACTTGTTCATCTAGTTGTAACCTTATTGTACTCAGTTGGCTAAGGATGCATGCATGGAGGTCAGCCTGCAAATCCAAATTTAGGATTCTAAGCCTAATAAATACAAAGCAGATCATAGATGTCATGGGCCCATACGTTTGCAGATGTTTTTTATTTTTTATTCCAAACATTGGAAGAACAAATGATGTTTGTATTAATATGGCTGTTCTTGCTATGTGGAAAAGGTAATGCATGCAACAAATCAGAAGTTTTTGGAACTTTTAAATGATTTGATTGACATGACAACACACAATCTGACAAGAATGGAGCGCACAAAATATGAAACTTTAATCACCATTCATGTGCACCAGAAAGATATCTTTGATGATTTGGTAAGTTTTTTAAAACCTTTAAGGGACTTTCTGTATGGAAGTTTTTGCACATATTAAAAAATTATAAACAGATCTTACAATCGATTCTCTCTGAGTAACTATGATATGCTGTGATATAGTATATCAGATTTAGTTTGATTTCATCTAGATGTCATGCAGAGATAAGGGTGAATTATATAATAGGTTCAGACTTCAGTTTTGAAAATGATTGTTGATACCCATCATGCACAAATTCACTGTGAGCAAAAGAGTTTAACTGTTTAGATTAAACTATTCTCTCAAATTGCAAATTTTATACCTTATTTAATTGCAGTGTAAACAGGAAAGAAGTCCATTTAGTATTGCTGTCCATCATGTATTTTCTAGCCCAGCCTGTATGTTGATTTAAGGTGATCGTTATTCAAAGGTTAAAGTGGTGAGGATCCATATATTTGAAAAGGGTAGCAACAATAACCAGCACAGATACTTAAAATTTTTTTATAATTGAGTTGCATCAGGCTTCCTTTAGATAAGTATATTGACTACATGAAACTATAATTATAAAAATGGAAGTAAAATAACTTTCAAAAAGCTTGCATGCTGCAAAGGTCAATAATCCAATACTGCATTGTTGAATTTATGCATATATGTTAGAAAGATAAAAATGAAGTGCATGTGTAAAGAAAGATAGAAAATCATAAAGAAAAATACTGAAAGTTAGCAAGAAAACTGCCAACTAAGATAGGCATGGAGTTTTATCCTCTGCCTGTAATTTTAAGTTTATTTTCATAATTATTTTCTTAATTGAACATTTCATTATCAATTAATTTAGTGTCACATTATAATAAAATTAAATCACAGAAAATTGGTTAAATTTAAAGTGTCTGTATGTGAAATAAAAAATTAGGGGCAAGTCCAAAACTGAGGAAGGGATTCTTAATTGGTAAATGTAATATTATCCTTTTCCTTCAAAACATTCTGTTCACTGCTAAACACATCCTTTTGTGATGGAGGGAAAGCAGAGGGAAGTGGCTGAGGATCCAGAACCTCTTCTTCACCTATCTGCAAGGTTGATAACCAGGATTACATATTCCGTAAGAGGCCAGTGGTTTTGAGATCAAGTGTCAAAAATAATGAATCAAGATCTACTGATCTGCCACAAAACTAAATATGTCTGTGGCAAGTTCATACTGAAAAATACATCCCAAATAAACAAACATATAGACATGTATACAATATATTCAAGTGTTGTCCATGATTTAGTATTTCTGTGAGGAATGGCACCAGATACCATGCAGTGTAACCAGTATTGTTACTTAGTTTTTTAATGAAGTTTTCTATCACTGTTCTTCAATATCTCTGTAAGACACAATTCATAATCTCTGTGCACAATTAGAGGAAAATCAAAGTGGTCAAAAGGTTCAAAGCATGTCAGAGACAGATTTGAAAAGATAATTCTGGATGTCTTGACTCCTGGCAGATTTTGTGCTCATCTTCCAGCTCTTGAATTTATGCATCATAGACTTTTTTTTCTGTGTGGAATTTAAGATGAATTTGTTATACTGTTTCATTTCTGTATTAATGATTTTTCTTTTCCATTATAGGTCCGTATGAACATTAAATCTCCATCTGATTTTGAATGGCAAAAACAGTCTCGGTTTTATTTTCTTGAAGACTTGGATAAATGCATTATCCAAATCACTGATGTAGAGTTCACCTACTGCAATGAATACCTAGGGTGTACAGACAGGCTTGTCATAACTCCCTTAACTGACAGGTAGTTATAAAAAGAATGCAGTGCATTTTAGACTGGAGCTAAAACTTAGTGCCTTTGACTTAATTTCTTTAACTTTCATGGATCAGAATTCTTACTTTGGTTGCACTATAATGCTGCAATATCGCTGGTGAACAGCAGAGGCCAGTGCTTATATACTCAGCTAGAGAAAGCAGGCACCCCTAGGAGGGGTCTTGAATTCTCTGTGAGTGTTGCTTGAGTTATATGTGCTGTGGTAGGCACTGAAAAACTTACTTGTGCTCAAGGTAAATATACCTGAACGCCATGCACTTCACCAGCCTAAACAGAGTGGAACTAAAAAACAATATATTGCTGCTTTCAATAAACTAGTAGTTGCATGAGAATTTGGGATTACAGCAAGTGATTCATTTGAAGTCACCCTAGAGGAAAAGCAGTAACTCAGGACATAGCATTGAATAACTAATGCCAATATGGTTTTAAGCAAAGCCTATGGAGAATTACAGGACTGAAAACAGAAAAAGCTCTGAGGACAAAACCGTAAGAACTTTTTATTTCTGGAGTGTTAGTTATACAGCACAGAACAAACTCCATTAGATGCTATTTTCCTGAAGTACTTGGTAGCGCTTCAGCTAAGCAAGGCGTAGATGTATGTGCTATGCCAGAGCTTGTTCTTTTAAGTGTGGATAGAAATGTCAAAATACTGTGTATGTTCAGTCATTTGTTGTGTGAAGAATGACTGCAGGCCGTTGAATTAATATTGGAATTATCTTTGTAATCTCTGTGATACTAGATTTTCTTTACTAGTGAAATTTCAGACTTTTGCCAATTTCTGAATCAAAATTATGCCCAGTGAGCTATTTAAGAGAGCCAAAACCCTATGCTTGGATACCTGGCATTTAATATTTAACACACATCTCCCAAATTCTGTTATGTACCCTATTATTCCTGTGCTAGATAGAGATCTGTCTGCAGCAGTAAACATGCAATTGATTAGTTGGTATGGCAGCACTACCACGCAGATGATATTTTTGCCCACCGGCAGAGACAATATCAAGAAAATGTTGTCATTCAAAATTTGTTCACAGAATTAAAATGCAGCCTAATTGGTTAAGGGATTGATTCAAGGTGTTATGTCACGTGAGACTGAAAACTAGTGCAGAGTGACATGATTCAAGAAAATGAGCGTTTTGAATGATTTAAACTATAATAATAACAACAGAAAAGAAGGGATATGTCTGTCTTTGAGCAAACCCAGAAGAGCCAAACAGAACTGCAGGGATTGGTAGCTCTCCACTATCATATATTGAAAAAATATTTGAAGCAGAGATGTTTTCTAGTGTTGGCATGGGAAACTTCTGTACCTAAGCAGTGTTGCATAAGAACAGATTTTATTCCGCTTATAGGCTTTTCCCATTTTAATATTTTTAATATTGTTATATGGACTTGTGTGAGCTTCTGACAATTTTCAGGTAGTGATATCCTTGCTTTCCATTAATCACCTTGGAGTCAAGTGCTCTTTGGCTAACGGTTTTGTGTTCAGAAAGATAAATACATGCTGGTGGTGGTACATTACATTAAGATAATGGCACTGAAATTGAGTGCTCCTACACATCATGTCAGACACAGACCATGTCATGGCAGATACAAAAAATGAAATGGAAGTTCTGTTTAGGACTTGTACTATGTATATGATTTGTCCTTACCTCATTTTCAGTAGCAGAATTGTTAGGAGTGGTATTTTTTCTGTGTTACCTGAGTGCCTGTTAACTGATTACTGAGTAATAAGGTGATAAAGCATTATTACTGCAATTATATTAGAATGAGTACTGTGTTATTTTATAGGAAGTGATACTAGCTGGTATCATTTGGGTTTTTTCAGTGCCCATTTTCTCTCCCCAGATATTTCATGAAGCTATTGAGTTTCACAGTGTTAAAATGGATTTACAGGGATTTTGGAGAGTTGTAGGTTAGAACAACAATCTTCCTACACCCTTCAGTAGTCTCCACACCATCTGGGGAGGCTGAGACTTAAACCTGCGGATGTCAGCCCAGGATGGATGCTGATGCAGAAGATGATCCTAGGATTCATGGATCCCTCCTCTTCTTTCTCCATTGCCCATTACAGTCTTCCCTCTCATCCATTCTCCTCCTGGAACTCAAAGACCTCATGTGGCTGGCAGCACTGCTCTGGTTTGGCGTGCTGGTAGGGAAAAGGCAAGAACATGAGCTGCTTCCAGCCTCTGTGCCTTCCTATTGCCAGATCAGAGAGCCCATCTTGTGTGCTCTAGGGAGAGAGTAGGAGGATGGGAAAAAAGGCAGAAACCCAGAATGAGGCTGAGTCACAGAGGGAGGGTATATGATTAGTGTGAGAAAATCACAATACTACAGTATTTTGGTGTTCAGCATTTAGCCTGTGCATTTCCTGGGCTGTTGCAGTCATTGCTGTGCTAGATACATGCTTTTCTGCAGGTGGAGCAAAGGTGGTACCTGGTGACTCAGTTGCTCAGCTTCACAGAGTGCAAAGCGAGAGACTGAAGACTTACCACATGGAAGCACACCCATTTCTACCCCCTTCCACAGCTCTGTATAATACAACTGCTGTGGTCACATTAATGGACTTCAAGTAATTAATAATAGAAAAAGATTAATAGAACTCTTGGTTCTGTCTCTAGGTGTTACATCACCCTGGCACAGGCCTTGGGCATGAGCATGGGTGGTGCACCAGCAGGACCTGCGGGGACAGGGAAAACAGAGACAACTAAAGACATGGGCAAATGCCTGGGAAAGTATGTTGTTGTTTTCAATTGTTCAGACCAAATGGACTACAGAGGCCTTGGCCGTATCTATAAAGGTAAGAAATAATCGGGTTTGATCATTTTAGAGTAATAAGTTTTTGTCTCTTCACTAGTTAGTTAGCAATGATTAATAGGACATTTTCTTCTCTGTTTCCTCTTATTTCCAGATGCTCATCAACTTTTCCTGATATTTGGTTATTTCTCCTTTATTTTTCCTTTTTTCTTCTTTCATCTCAGGGAGGGAGGATATTCAGCCCTCCCTTCCCATTTTGTATCAAGCAAGACAAAAAAATACAAAGATCAATGATGTTGTGCAAGGCAGGGAAACATGCGAAGTGGTGCAGTGTCTTACTTGGAACTCTAGAACTTTTCTGAAACCAGGAAAATGAGATAGTGGTCAAACTCTGATAACTTTTCAAGATAAGCAGAGCTTTGAAGTCGGCTTTGCAGACAGGGATCAGGTGATCCAATATCTGCGGACTCCATTATGTCTATTTTCTTGTATATAGCTACTGTTGGTTACATGGACTGGCAGACCAAAGCACGCTGCCATTTTCTGTGAGTGTTGGGCTCTTAAGTCTAACACAAGGTATCATAAACATAATTTTCACTGTTGTGGTATGTCCTCAAGGTTAAAATATAACCTGGAGATCATTTCTAGTTTTAATTAAGAAGCCAGTGAAGCTGCCCAAGCTTTTAATAGAAGTAGCTTTTGTCTTTGGCTTCTTATTTAAGAGTATCCAATTAAACTTTTATAATAGAGATAGAAAGCCTGAAAGTATGCCAGGTTTGGATTAAGGTGATTTTGTATTTAATTGTGAAAAGATTTTCCATCTTTCTCTCTTTCTCTTCTGTGGTCGTACTGGGTTTGTGGCTGAATTAGATCAAGAAGACCAATAGGACATATCAGAGAAGGACTGAGTTAAAAGCAGTACTTGTACTAACTTCACTGGACTACTGTTCTTCCTCCTAATCCTTTTGTTCTTTTACAGATATTTTTAGACCTCATTAACTTGTTAACTTTCTTTAATGGCCATATCAAAAGGAGGGATATGGGAAGAAGTAGAGCAGAGAAAGAAGGGAAAAAAAATGATTTAACCAGTTTGACAAGTTTTTCATGACTCAGAAGTTTTGTAGCTGCCTGTGCATTCTGCAGAATGCCCTGCTCATCACTAATCAAACACATTAGCTCCATTTACAAGAATGTGAAAACAGAGAAAACCGAAACATTTCCATTCTTACTTTCTTTGCCTCAACCAGCATCCGTCCCCTGTTCCTCTGAGCCATGAGCCATGACGGAAGAGATACACTAAGCTTTGAAAATGCTCTGGTGTCTCTTAGCTTCTCCCTCTCTCCACACCCCATCTCTGAGGCGCGCTCGTGTCTGTTGCCTTCCCTCCCACGGAGGATCTCCCTAGTTGGAGCTGCAGTAAGGGGCCAGCCTGGAGCAAGCAGAATAGCTGCAAAAAACAGTCAAGGAGACACTGCTACAAAGAGAGAGGATAAAGTGCTTCCTGCTAGAGCAGTCCTATCATTTCCATACCAGTAATCTGAGGTAGTGCAGTAAATATGGAAGCAGTGAATGGTAGAGCTAGTGACCATCCACAGCTCTTCTGAGAGTTTAATCCCCAGTCCTGAACGGGTCCTGTGAAGAGCCCACTCTTCTAGCTAGAAGTTCTGCTAATGGCACAGGAATTGAAAGTTTGATTACAGTCTTTAATGTAAAGCATTAGACAGTCTTTTAGCTAGTTTTTTAGCTTTAGCTTTAGTTTTAGTCTTTTTAGGTGAATGCAGGCATTCACTGCCTTGGAGAAGGCTGAAACTGGCTTAGTGCTCCTGTGAGCAGTGAGAGCAGAAGACAGGTTTCATAGTATCCCATTACATTACGCTGGGATGTGAGTTAAACTTTCATAGAAGCCGGTGACTTCTGTGCTGAATATATTGCGTTATTGTAGTCCTTACCTGAGGTAAACACTGTGTTTACAACAAAGGCCAGATCTTTGCATATCAAGAGAGAAGATAGTTACCTAGTGACCAGGAGCTATGGAAAGCTGCTCATCTATGTAACACCGAACAAACAGAGGAACATTTCTAAGCTAGAAACTGAACTAGCTGCACGTGTGAATACCTTCAGTCAAAGTCACAAGTTTCTCAAAGCACCTCTTGTAACCCCCAGATCTTTGGGCCAACTTTTAGTTCCGTGTCTTTTATCATGTGTGCAGACTTCTAGTGTCCCAAGTTCATTTTACTCGTTGGTACTAAACAGAAGAGGGCTGGGTAGGACCAACTTGCTGTCTGACTAAGCATGAATATGCTCGTAACACCAAACGCAGTAATCTTCCGGGTCTCTGCTGTACCTGTGGTCGTCAGTCTGGAGAGGGGATGTCAGCCTTTGTTTCTCCTTGGAGTGGGTTTGTCTTTGATCTAACCAAGCTATTGTCTTTTTCCTCTCTGCTCCTTCTGTAAGAATGTTTGTATCTCTTTATGTTACCACCTTTTTTCCTGACTCCTTGGTAATTTCACTTCTTTGTATTAAACTGTTTGCGAATTGTGTCAGTTCAGACATCTGGCCTTTGTATCCTTGCGTTGTTTCTGCCTTCTTATCCTGGACACTTTGGTAACTTATCCTTTCTCATTTCAGATTGAGACAATAGTGATAACTGCAGCTTGTCATTGCCTTCTTTTAGTAAAACTGGGTACAATTTCTATGTCTAAGAACATGAGCTGAGTTTTAGGGCTCAGCTTTCTTTGTTGTTTTTCTACAAGCTGACCATTTTCCATGTTGTATTTTCATCATATGCAACAAAAGCTAAGTAATACTGTGTAATGTGTCCTTGTTATCTGACTGCCTCGTACAATGGCGTGCTGGTGTTCTATATCAGTTAGAAAAGATGCTTATAGAACTCAACAAATAGCTGCTCAGGCAACCATGATGGCTGTCACTGCTTACCTCAGTCAATTTGCTAGTGGGATGGTGGCTTAATTCTCAGAGAATTTGCCTGGGAATTGGATAATAGATCCAGCTGAATAGAGCCTGAATAGGGTGATTTTTTTTCAGCATTCATCAGACTGTTGTGTGTCCTGGAGGAAAAGTAAGATTCTGTTCTTATATAAGTCATTGGTGCTTTCATTTGTGAAGGGTACCAGTTGCTTTGGACTTATTTTCACAGCTTGGAAGAGCCTGGCTTGGAATAACGGTTTTTGTGTTGAAATGTCTTTAAGGTATCTGGTATTTCTTGAAGAATGGATATACTGAAGTCAGGGAAGGAAATGAGCTCTTTTTAGTTTAATAGGAGGAGCAAAGTGAGTTCAGAGAAAGATTCTTTAATGCATATGACATCTTTAATGGAACAGAAGGATAGTTCTTCACAGCTATAGAAGATCTTTCATGCAGACTGGTAAGAAAGTTCTCATGAAACATACTGCATGTTTGAGTGCACACTTTGAGAAATTCTTCAGGATTCCACGTCTGCGATAGGCTTTATACTCCATCACCAGTATTTCCTTTTCCAAACTTTTCACTTCATCTAGTGTTGTAGGTCAAGTTATCAGATATTAGCAGATGTAGCAGTGAGAAGAAAAGGGGATATGGAGGTGGTGGTGTCATGTCTGCAGCCACGTTTCCAGATATTTTCTGTAAGGACAGTAAGTTTGATCTTCAGAATAAAGAATAGAAAAAAATAATGTAATAAAAATAACATAACAATATATTGTATACTATAAAATTATAATTTAAATTTCTCCTGGTTTGACTCAGAGCTGAGGTTCTATCTCCCTGTTTCTCTGTCTTCCTGTCTTTTTTGTTTTCCTGTGTGACTCCAACTATTGATAAGCAGATGGTCTAGTCAAGAAGTCCAAGGCCTGGACTTTCATCTTTGATAGTTTTGTTTTTGAAATTTGAATCAAAAAGTAGGTTCAGATATAACTGGTCATCTGAATTGGACCAGAGGTAACCCATGAAAGTACCAGGGATGCAAGTGAGAAGATGAATTTTCAAGTTTTCTTTCTATTATGTCAAATTTAGTGTTAAAATTGCCCAGGAATAGCAAATCAGGGGTACTTCATCTCTGTTACTGAAAAGTGTTGGTGAATACCCTTTAGGAAACCTTTTGTCTGTGGTTGTCTGTAGATGAGCGTGAAAGTCATGTTTGCTTTGGTTCTGTTTTCTATAGTTCCAGTCAAACAACTCTTACCTGAGGTACCTTTTTGTGATTTAAAGCTTAATGCAATATTTAATGTAAGATTTGATATTTATCTTAATTCAGAAGGTGAATAAACAAGTATGGAACTCTGTAAATTCTTTCAGGACCAATGAGTACCTTGTAGCTTACTGCTGCTGAGCTGCACTTTGGCGAGACAGAGTTCTGTTTTAGTAAAGTTTGCTTTGAATTATGTCACTATAATTGTACCCTTGTGTAAAATCTTTAGAGATGTGTCGTTTCAATAAAAAAGAGAGTTTATAGCTGCTTTGTCATGATTAATTACTGCACTGTTGCACTATTTTTAGCCAGACCTCCCAGTGTGTAACAGCACCTGGGTTGTTATCACCTGGCCTCTTGGGTCACCTGGCAGGACAGGGGTTGTCACAGCAGCCTGCAATGTTGGTTCTTTGTGTGTGGAGCACTAGTACCTGCACTGGCGACTCTGGCCATAATGTAGCACTCAAGGGTCAAGCCACCCAGCTGGGTATAAATCATAGGGTCACTGACATGGAAAGGGACATGGCACCGCATTGCAGAGATGCATTTTGAAGTCTTTCTGAGAAGGAAGTAGCTATGCTGTGTGATTCTTACACCATGTGAGGACCAGGTTTGTAGGACATCTGTACTGATTGGGGCCAGGGGGTTGTCGCATTTCTTAGCCGTAGTTAAAGATCTCTTTAGTCCTGTCCTTTATTTTCTGCTTTTACTCCATTTCTGCATTTGATTACCATAATATGTTCTGTGTGGGGACAGAAATTAATGCACAGTAATGACAGTGCACAACAAAATTACGTTGTCTCTAAGCTGTTTTGCAGCTGACAGTTTGCTTACTGTGCCTTTGCTTGTGTGTGTGTGGGGGTGTATACATACGTGCGTATTGTCTTTCCTTTTTCTTTTTAAACACTACCAGAATGAAATAGTTTCGCAAGAACTGAATTTATTCAAAGCTGTGGGATATTGGCCTTGCCTGAGAGTCAGGTTTCCTAACTCCATGCAGCAGGTGGCATTACAGAACAAGTGATTTTTTTTTTTTTTTTTCCCTTTACCAAGGAAAAATTGTTTGGTTAGAACTGAACCTCACCATTCTATAGAGAATGTAATTTCAAAATCTTTTAATATACAGGTCATAAGTGTAAGAGACAATATTATACAGAACAAAGTTTTTTTATTAAAGAATATCCAGGTTTAGAGCTTTTCCTTATTGCATCCCAAGGAGTAGATATTGATGTTTAATAAACAAAGTACAAAACCCACTTTTTTTTGGTATTTTTTTTAGAATGGATGCTAGTAGTCATGTAACACCTGTAACAAAAGGGGCCAAATGCATTTGAAAAATCTGTGCAAGAATTTTTTATCAGGGAGCAGCAAGAGTGGGGCAGCTCCATGAGGGTAAGACAAGCCAGGAGCCCAGGATGACCACAACATAAACAGGGGCAGGGACTTCACTGACCAGGGCACAGTCCCGCAGAGCCTGAGCAGGGCAGCTTGGTGACAGCTTGTTCCATCAGCTGTCCAGTGACCATCAGACAAGGTGAAATAACAAGCTGAGTCCAGGGTCCGTCTAGGAAATTCAGTCAGAAACATCAGGAGGCGGGGCTGGAGGTAAGACTACAGATAGTTCTGAGGTGCTCCAGAGAGTTCAGTCAGCAAGTCAGGATAACAGGAGATAGGACTGTGCCCAGCCCTACGTACAACATAGCTTAGACCTGCCTGAGCTGAAATGGAGCTCCTGGACTGGAGGACAGAGAGTATGGGTAGAAGCCCCAGAGAAGGCTGGTCAAGGCAATTAAGGCCTTTTGGTGCATCCAGGGACCTGATATTCCTCATACAAGAGGGACAACATTAGTTAAAGGACATGCTGCCATATCAGTGAAGTCAAGGAACATTCTTCATTTGTCTTTAAAGACAGCAGGATTGAGTCTTTCATGTTTTAAATTTGGTACCTGTCTACAGAACTGTTTTAATCTTTGCCTCATTATGACATTGTGGTATTTGTATATATTCCATTTGCTTTTAAATTTTGTAATTATGTCCATGTGACTTTTTATTCTCTTCAAAATTTTTTTTTTTTTTTTTTTTGAGTATGTTTTTCCTTATAATATCACAGAAATTAGTTAGAAGCAGTTTAGGAAAAAGATTAGTCTATATATGGAACTGAACTGAATTTCATGGGAGATATGCAGTATTGCCTTGGCTGAATCAAATCTTAAGGAGGCAATTTTGGCTGTACTACCACTGGTTTTGATCTGATGTGACTCCACTAATTTTGCTGGAGTTCTTCCAAAATTACATAGGTAAAAGAGATCAATCAATGCAACAATATTAAAAGAAGAGGTTAATGGGCATTAAAAAAGGTAAAAAAAGAATGCAAGAATTATTTTATTTTATTTTTTTTCTGTCTGCAAATTTGACAAGTATTGATTTGGGTATGATAGCTGATCACAGTAGAAGACAGGACAGAGTAGAAGAGGGGCAGAGAAGAAACATAAAAGGGGCCTCAAAGGGATTTGGAGTAAGGTGAGAGTTCCCAGAGGAGCACCTTAAAGAGCAAGAAAAGATCAGACAAGGAACAGTAGAGGGAAGGGAAGAAGGATAATATAAGCAGAACAGGCCAGAGCAAAGATGATAAGAGAAAACATGAAAGAGAAAACAAAACAAAGTGAAAAAGTATGTACTAATAGTTGTCGTATTGATTTTTTGAGTAGTTTCTCTTCCATTAGCTTAAGTGTCATAAGGAATTAACATTACACATAAACCACCCCTTAATTTATTTTACCAGTGCTATAGGCATTGCTGTATAAAGTATGGGGATTCAGGGGAGCTCTGGACATAGTTGGTCAACATTGCAAACACACAAATGCCTTTTCTTGGACATGTGCTTTATTTCTGCATTTAGCACGGCCTTCAGACGGCTTAAGCCAAACTGAGCTCCACCAGTCCAGTGAAGTGAACTAAACACCTCTAGACATTTGTTTGTAGCACCAGTTAAAGTACTGATCCAGGTCCCTGCTGGACACAGGCAATAGGAAATACTAGTCCAGTGTGGGCTTTGAGAAGGGAGGAGATGGCATCCATGAAGTTCTTGCGTAGATTTACTAACCTTTGTCTCTTGTGAAATGGATATGGAACAGCAGAGGATTATGTAAGTTTCCCACTACTGCTCTGGAAAGCTGCCACTGTAGACTCTCCTATTTTAATCCTGCTAACATAACACAGAAGAAGGAATACTTGACTCTCCCATAAGACTTTCATTTCGTTAAGTTTATGGATACTAATGTCTTGTCTAGAACTCCATAGCCTGTTCCAAATAAGAGTTGTAAGCATGACATCAGATTCTTCTCTCTTGAACAGCAGGATGCTATTCTCCAACAATTTTTCACCTATGAATTAGTTGTTATAAAATGCCTCAATGCTTCTGTTACAAATGTAGTTCTGATTTGATTCTGTACTTTTCATTTAGGTAGGTGTCTCTGAAGCCCACGTTTGACAGTATCACCCCCTGCATAGATGAGTTTCCATGCTATATGCATGTTTATTCTCCTAGGTGCTATATACACTATTATTGAACACTTTCTACCATATGGTTGCTATAAAAGTGTAGGATTCTTTGTGAAGAAGTTTGTATATCTTTCTTTCAAGGGGTAATTATTTTTCTGGGTGTCGTTAATGCACAGCCCAATTTATTCTGAGTTTTTACTTCTCATTTTACTGTGTTCATACTCTCTGTTTGTCGCATGTTACATTGTTGTCTAGAACATGCTATATTTTATATATAAATTATTCTTGTTTATCTGATATTTTAACAAAATATTTTTCTTTTTGCTTTTTTAGGTTTAGCCCAATCAGGTGCATGGGGTTGCTTTGATGAATTTAACCGCATTGAACTTCCAGTTTTATCAGTAGCTGCTCAGCAGATATATATTGTACTTCAGTGTAAGAAAAATAAGAAACCTCAGTTCATTTTCACTGATGGTGATGTTGTTGACATGGATAGAGAATTTGGTATATTTCTGACTATGGTATGTGTATGAATATATGTAAACGGCATCATTGTGAAAAATCTTTCCTATTTCATTTGCCATTGAAATTTCCTGTTGAAATAATTTGAACTCTCTGTTAGAAAATAGTGAATACAATTTGAACAATAATTTGGTCAAATAATAATGATGATATTTTCTCTTGCCCATATTTTTAACAGGAACTTAGGACCTGAGGTATGCAATTATCATTAACTATGTATTTTAAGGGCCTTTTTAGTTGAATATTTGACAGATTGAGACTAAACCCAAACCTCTTATATTTTTAGTCAAAGTCTGTCAAAATAAAACAGAAGTAGTTGACCACTGCAAGGACTACTGTAGATGGTATGGTCAGTATTTTACTACCTGTGAAGAACTTTTGACCAAAATCATTCTATATGACAGCATGAAGGAAACCACCCTGACTCTGGTTCATTGGCCTCCTGAAGAATTATCTTTCGTGCTTGTGGACTGCTTCTAGCAGTGCAGGAGGCAAAGAAGCAGGAAAGCGTAAGAATACATTAAAAGCATCTTTGTATCTCCCCCTCCTTAGCTGTAGACTATATACCCACAACTTAAAATGGAAGCATTTGTCTTTATTTTAAGGTATCCTACCTTCGAAAAGATGTTAATGTTATCATTTTAATTTGAAAAAGAGGACAGATTAGTGGCATACAAAGGCCAGTGGGAAGGCAGTTTGGAAACAGCTGGAAGAGTTTAAGAAGTTATCACTGCATAGCCAGTGACTACTGTTGTCACAACTGAGCCATGCGGTAGTCACATGAATGACTTCAATATCTTCAGTGAAAAGTCAGATCCGTTAGTTTAAATTATATGCAGTAATGGCTTGCACTGCTTGACTGACTTTGTGCTGAAATGGTCTGGGAATGCTCAGAAGGGACAGTAACCTCCAGTACTGGAAGACTGTCAAGACCCTGGGGAACTAACCATTTAAAACAGCCCCAACAAGATCTGTAAGTAGTTGTCTGTCTCTCTATGTCTGTCTTGGACATCTCCAGATAACACGTATGATACCACATGCTTCATGAACTGTAGTATTTTGGCAACTGTATAGTGATGTGTAATTGTGACATACTCAAGTTACCCTTTGTAATCAGGTGTGTGCTCCTGTATTTGCCAACTAATTATCAGAAAAGATAAACCTTCCTATCCTACTTTTCATTATATATATA